AGGGACAGCCGGGGCTGGAAGTGCTGCTCCGCCCGGCCCGGCCGCCAGCTCGGACCCAGCACAGGGACAGGGGACACAGGGGGCACCGGGGGAAAAGCAAGAGGTGAAAAAGGCAGCCGAGGGGGGAAAGAGGTACAAATGCAGCCTAGGCCTACACAGCTCAACCTATGCATCTAAATTGCCACAAACCTCTAACTAAATAGCTATGCACTTTAATATATATATATAAATATATATATGTTACTCTATACACATATAAATGTAAATCTCAAAATCTATGAATGTAAACTACATAATTATAAATATAATTCTGTAACATGTATAAATGTGATGCAATTATTAAAAAATATATATACTGATTTAACTATATAAACACACCTGTATAAATCTATAACTATATATAAAATAAATATATATAAATATATATTTATAATATGTATATTTAAAAATAAATATATATTAAAATTATATATAATGATTTACTATATTAACACACCTGTATAAATCTACAAATATAACCATAGGGATATACAAATAGACTTATAGAAATCTGTATATAAATGGAGAGATTCCACCTGCCCGATGGTCACAGGCTCTCCCTCTGATTCTTCTTCTCACGCAGGGCAGCCCTCCTGGCAAGGTAGATCAGGTGGATATCTGGGAAACAAAGGGAACATTGGGTCAGTATTGGCCTCTGTGCATCTTTCCATCTTGAAGTAACTGTACTTCCATCAAAGACTGAAAAAATGGCCTGAAAGGCAGACTCTTATTTGACAATTTCAGATCTGCTCTTTAAAGAACAGGGATCCTTCCAAGTTTTCAAAACTTTTGAAGTTTTGAAGAGTCCCAGTAAAATCTCAGCACTTGCAGTGCAAATGGCACCCAGGAGAGCTTGAAACACAGTGTGCTGTGACAGTCCCAGCTGCCACAAAAAAGCCCAGCCTTGTTCTTTCTCTGGGCTGATAGACAGACCTCAGTCCTCACTGAAATGGCTGAAGCTGAAGGTGCTGGGAGCTGAGTCATGAACCAGCTCCATTACCTGGCATCTACAAACTGCCCTCTGCAGTGAGCAGCAGCTGCTGCAACTCGACCATCAGCTCTGGCAGGTAGGGGTTGGAGGGACAGAGCTCCTTACGAGGCCTGCAGGCTGCACCAGCTTTGCTAAATGCAGATCCAAAGTGCTCTCTCTCTACTGTATTTCTCCCTAATTTGGGGTAATTTCAGTTTTTCTTTGACCTGCTGGATTTGTGACTAATGATCTCCTTGGCCTCAGAACTTCTGCTGCTTGTATTTCTAATGTATCTCACTACAACTATCAGCAGACTGGCACTACATTAATTTAATGCTTGGAGACAAAACGCTTCGACTTGTACATTCACTTTTTGCTGGGCTTTTCCTCTCTTGCTTCAAGAGTCACTCAGTGTTGCCTCCAGAGCACCAACATCCTGCAGCAAACTTATCCGTGGACATCAGCACAAAACTGGGACACCCGGCTTGGTGACACAGTTCCCACAAGCTCAGGTTTATTCCCTGCTCTCTTGCCCCAGCAGAGGACTCAGGGTCAGAGCCTCTGGAGAAGCGTGCAGGGCAGGGCTCAGGCAGGTTGTGCCCGTGCAGGGTTTGAACTCAAAGCACCAGGAAGCACCAAGCCTGCAGACAGGAACTCAACCCTTCTCATCTCCCTTCCTGCCAGAGGCAGGC